ATGCAGTGTTGTAATTGTTTTAATCTACAGAAATCTATATGTGATAATGTAATATATTCATCATTTATATTCAATGTAATTGAACTTTGCTTCGCATTAATTGAGTAAGTTAAATCATCAGTTATTTTAACACGTTTACATCTGGTATTTAAATTATTAGTAATAGAAACAAAGTTTGATTAGTTATAGTTTATAATATACTAGCTAAAATTTAAAAATAATTAGATAGGTACATCTTATTATTTATTAATAAATCAAGAATTTTGATTCAAAAACAATAGCATTTCAGCTTTTTTTTGATTTTAATCGACAACGACGATCTGTTATGATCAAACCTGCCTTTGAAAAAACCCGCTCGCAAGGTATGGATGATCCTAAGCAACACAATGTCTTCCTAGAAAATATACTTAGGTAAGGATAATTATATTTATGCTCTTGCCACCATTCTAATGGGTTGCCATTTCTTTTTAAGATTGGCTCTTCAAGATATCGTTGAACCTCAACTATAGCACGTGCGGTTGATATTCTTATGGCAGGATGGACTTCGGAAACTCTTTTATCAATCATTTCCCAAATTGAAAACGATTTTTCATCGGATACTGATGCACTTGACTGGAAAGAAGTAGACGGTTCAGGTTGTAATGTACATTCTGTTTCTGATCTAGCTAAAGAAATAATATTTGCTATAAGCTCCACTACATTATTTTGGACAGAAGTTTTCATAGATTCATTGTGAATAAATGGAATGTTTTTTTAATCGCGGATCAAGAAAAGTACACCTGGAAAGTGTCATACTCTTTTGAAGGTTCCCCAATTTTGCCTGTCTTTCATTCCATTAATTAAATTGTTAATTAAACCTTCAGTTTGAATGGAATAATATTGATGTTTTTATTGTTGGCAGACATCTTGTAAGCCTTGAGCAATTACAATTACCATTGATGCAGTAATATATTGACCACCACTAACTGCTCTTGTAGCTTCTTCGAACGGCAGTAAGACTTTGCAAAATTCTTTTATAACTGCCCATTCATTTGGATTTAAACCATTTGGAGCTTTGTCTAACAGTCCTATTGTACCTCTTACAGATGTTTCCAATTCCATGAAACGTTCCAGCATATAGAATCCAGGGTGTAGAAACGTCTTGCAGCATTTTTTTGGTTCCTTAATTCCATTATTCTTTTGGTAAGTCATAAGTTAATTATTAGCAGTTGTACTTTTATGGAAATGTGTACAAATACTCTTAACTTTATTTATGAGCTCAGATTCTTTATTTATTGCAGATTGAACAATCAAATTAAGAGTATGCGCGAAGCAACCAAAATGTTTCAGCTGTAATGTTGACAAGGCATTTTGTACATTATCAGCATTGTCGGATACAGCTAAGACTATTTTATTTTTGAAGTTCTATGTATTTAAAGTTGTATTTATTTGTTCGCTGAGATTTTGACTTGTGTGACTTTCACTAAAAGAATGACAACTTAATAGTATAGATTTTAAAACAAAACTGGAATCTAGAAAATGTACAGTTATTGCTATGTAATTCTCTGTGTTCCGCGAAGTCCAACAATCAGTTGTCATGCAAGCCATTTCTAGGTCATTGGATATAATCTCTTTGACTTCATTAAAACATTTTTCATATGCCTCTAGAATTAGTGTTTTTGAAATGGCATGTCGGTTGGGAATTTTATAGCTAGGGTTCAATAAATTCACAAAGTCTTTAAAACCTATATCATCTACTACACTAAAGGGTTGCAAGTCCTTGGTAAAAAGTTGTATAAAAGCATTATCAATCTTCTTTTGACTATCAACAGATATTTTTTTTGGAATAAAGTTTGTTATAGCTAGCTGTTTACGTTTAAATGGATTTGTTTTCAAAATTGGTATTTCATTTTCTACAGTTTCCTGACAACTATTCCTACTTTTATTTTTTTCCACAACTATACTTTCAGCATTAACTATTTGTGTAACAGACGATGGATTATCTACGTTACCATTACCCTGTACACAAAAAATAAAAGATAAAGCCTAATTTTTTTTTATTTAATTGAAAGTTATATTTAAATTTATATTAAAGTCAACAGTTAAATTTTATGCAAAAATGACTACTAAATATTATGATTATTTTATAGAAAATACCTATGAAGAATTTGAAAATGAATGCAATAAATGTGCGTGGCGTAAATGTTTTTTTAAATTTGTCACACTAGTTTTGTAAGAATACATTTTTTTACGAATATCACATTTAGCTAGGATAGAGTCAATTTTTGTGAAATGTTGCCAAATATCACTTTATCTTCTATCTTTACTCTTTTTAATGTAATTAAAAAATTTAATACATATTTTGTGAAAAAACAAAGGGAGTACAGAAGACAAACTTATATTGTTCTGCCTCAACCTTCAACACCAATAGATTAATGATTATTGATTATAAAATGTAGTATCCCATCGTAATGTTGAATTTATATGTACAAGTAGTAACATGTTTTAAACATGTAAATTCCTGCTTTTCATATTAATGGGCAATAGATTGTATGTATAAATAACAACAACATTAGTTTTGACGGTGTTAACCTGGATGGGGGGGGGGGAGGTTGATGAGCGGGATACACATGACATTTTTTCAATGTTTTCAATTTTATAATAATATAAATTGTTAACTATAATAATATATGATGAAGTTATTAGAATTCCGTGGTAAAGCTGCTATCACAGAATAGTATTATCGATTTCATTAGTTCATGACAATAAACTGATAAGGAAATGAGCAGTATAGTAGCTACTGGCCTACTGCAAGTACTTGCCACTTACTGCTATTTTTTCACAAAGGTTTTAAAGTAGAACTGACGATTTTTATTCAAGAACATGAAGTAGCAGTGACTGCTATTTTCACTGCTACTTTTTTAATAGCAGTAGCAACTGCTACTGCTACTAAAAAAAAATCACAGTTTACAATCTCTGAAGGAGACCAAACTCCGTATACAAAATATGGCCCGACAAAAGTCGCAAGGTTATTCTGCCACCAGGAGCGCGTCGTTCGATAGCAGTTCTACGTTTTACAATTATAGCATGTAGTATAATTAACGTGACCATATTTGTTTTCTTCAAAGGGGGACACCTGTACATTTTAATAAGAAAACCATATCATTTTGCGAAAAATAACAATTGTTTTAATGGGAAAAATTCCCGCAGTTGACGCGATGGTAGCGATAATAACAATAAGATAGTTATTTTTGTACCATTTTTATCTATGGACTATGGACTATGGGTTGTAGTGTTTTACGTAATACATATATATATGTATATATTACGCAGTTATACCAGGGGGTGGACACTTTTGGCGGCAGGCCGATAACAGATAATCATTCGCCATTTTATTTGAGGTTGTTTTTATCAGTTTTAATTCGAGATAAGAAATATATTCCAAACAACATTACTGTTTACAAAATACGAATTTCTCTTAAAAGGAAATCTGCATTTTACTTATTTGTGTTTTCGTATTTTTTATACTTAATTGTGTTTACCGTTTACATTGTACGTTCTGTGTTTAAAATGGTGTTCGTTTGTATTTTAAAAGTGTGTAGGAATTCAAAAGTCAGTACCAAAGTGGAGGATTGTAAGCTATCCAGTATCCCTAACGAGTTGTCACGATAAGATTACCTTTAATTATTAATATTTTAATGATAAAAGCGTTAATATACGAGTAGCATGGTTTTAGGCGTGCACATTATTACTTTCATTGATTACCAATTATTTATTTTAGTTGCAACAAATGGTTAATAAATTGTCAACGGTCAGATCTGTGTGTTAAATCGATAAATATTCTGAACAAGAACTCTCGTGTTTGTAATGATCATTTTGAAAATACAATGTTTTCAAATGTTAAAAGGACAAGACTTTTGCCTACTGCTATTCCTACAGAATTTGGTAGCTACATTGAAACAACTGCACAAGATAGTGCAAACCAGACTATTGCTGATGATTCATTAACTGATGAAATCATTGTTACAAACACACCGTTAAAACAAGATCAATCAGTGTCTGTTGCTAGTAAGTAATTCTGTTAGATTAAGGAATTATTAAATTAATTACATTTGAATTAAATTAAATTGTTAATATAAATATGGATCTCAATTTAGTAATTAATTTTATGTTTGTAGTAGGCAACACGTTGTCGCCGTGTTCATTGTTTGAATCATCTTCATCATCAACTGCAACACAAACTACTCAAGTTCTTTCTGTAAATACATCAAGAAAACGAAAGTTAAGAGTTGAAGTTCGAGAACTAAGGACAAAATGTGACAAACTGGAGCAAAAGGTTGAACATTTGTCTCAAGAATTAGTCAAGAAATCTTCAGACATTAATGATTTTGTGACATCAGTAGAACATTTCTATGAGGTTTGTGATAAACATTTACCACCAAATTTGTCAATGGTTGTTAAACATTATGTGCAAATGTCTAAAAGAAAACCTCAAGGGATACGATATAGTAATACTATAAAACAAATGGCTTCAACTATTTATTTTTATGGTCCTCGTGCTTATACATTTTTAAAAACAATGCTGCATTTGCCTTGTCCTAGGACGTTACGCAGAATCACAGAGCAAATACAAGTTATCCCAGGTTTAAATGATATTTTGTTTGAAGCAAAGGATTTTAAAATAAATAATTTAAAAAATGATGCCAAGGAATGTGTCCTATGTATTGATGAAATTTTCTATAAAAACACATTTATATTATAATCTATCACAAGATTGTATTATTGGATTTAACAACTCTTATAATAAAAAACTTACGACCAGCAAAACACGTATTGTGTTTCATGTTAAGAAGTTTAAATTATGATTGGAAACAACCAGTGGCATACTTTTCTATTAATAACAGTTGCTCTGGAATTACTCTTCAAAATACAATTTTTGCTGTGTTTCTCGGATCCAAAGCACATCACTCATCGTCAAAGTTGTAACTACTGATCAGGGTTCTAATTTTGTTAGTCTTGCAAGTAAAATGCATGTATCAAAAGAATGTCCTTATTTTTATGTTAATGGTCAAAAAATATTTTATATTTTTGATCCACCACATTTACTTAAGTCTACAAGAAACAATTTTTTCAAGTACCAATTATCATTTTTAAATGGCTTGACAGATAAAGATATCTTGAACAGTTTTATAAATTAGATCAATGACTTAATCGACTTGCTCCTGAGCTAACTGACTCACATATTTACCCGGGACCATTTCAAAAAATGAGAGTTTCATATGCTAGTCAAGTATTTAGTGAAACCGTTGCAGCAGCAATGAAAACTTGTATCCATGGTGGTACATTACCTTCTACTACAGAAACTACTTCAATATTTATTGATCATATAGATAAGTTATTTGATATATTAAATTCAAAAAAAAAAATTGGAGGTAAAAATTTTAGTAGACTATTCAAAAACGCTGCTCAACAGAGGGGTCATTTATTACTTATGTATTTGAAAACATGACTATTTTTGAAAAGAAAACACTCAATGACAAAGTTATAAATATAGATGTGACAAATAGAGTTAAGTTTTTGAACGGCTGACAGATAACCATTAATGCATTATTACAGTTGTGGGACGACATTCAAAAACCAAATTATGTTTTATGTACCTATAAATTAAACCAGGACTGCTTGGAAAACCTTTTTGGCAGCTTTCGGAATCAAAATGGAAATAATGTAAACAAAACACCTATACAATTCTTTTGGGCATTTAGAAAGATATTTTTCATAAACTTCTTCAAACACAGCGATGGATCCAACTGCTTAGACGACTTAAATGAAAACTTAACCAACATTGGAGAATTGGCTCCACCATTAACTAATGCACCTGTATTATTCCCAGAGAAATCTCCATTTAAATTGTGTGCTTTAAAAGTAAGCACTGTAGATTACAGAGAGGTGTGTCTCCCTGCAATGAATGCACTTGCATATGTGTGTGGATATTTAGTAAAAAAAATGCATTGAAAAGCATTCCTGTGATTTATGTTTAAAGTATGCTAAGCATCAAGATCAATTAGATCAATCATTTACATTTATATTCTTAAATTTCTACCAAAATACAGAAAATTCAACCTATGGAAATTTAAATGTACCTCCCAATCAGTTTATTATATATTAATGAATTAGATGACATTTTTGTAAGTAATTTTCCTACACTAGCAGTAGAGAATGATGTTGGATGAAAACTTAAAAATGTCATAGACAATATTCCTTTTAATCACCCATGCCCTCAATTTGACATTGAATACTTAAAGGTTAGGTGCTAAAATTGATAAGAACTACCTCAATTAAAATGGCGGCTGATTTTTTGTTTGACCCTATCTTACTGTATAATTTGTTATCAGTGTCCATTCTGATTATTCTATTCTGTGGTTATATTATAAGTCTATACGACTATACAGTATAATAGTATAAATAATGTATGATTGTGATTTGTGATCAATAAATACTTACGACAAGTCGATTTTTCTTAAAGCGGGACATTTTTAGGTTCTTTGGGGATAGCGGGACACTTAGCTAGAAAGCGGGACTGTCCCGCTCAAAGCGGGACGTATGGTCACGTTAAGTATAATAGAGATTATGTACGTTTTTCGACTTAAACTTACTTTATTATTCCTTACAAATACTTTATGGTCTGGATCAGATCCAAATTATGTATACAGGAGTAGGGGGATCTCGGTTAAAATTAGTTTCATATATTATACGTACCTACTTTCAGAGCCGTGTTTAACGATGGGCAAAGGGCGCAATTGCCCCCGGCGGCAAAATTTGAAAATATTTCATAGGCGGCATTCGTATACTAATTTTTCAAATATTTTTTTGGTTTTTTGTAATAAATCAATGTTGACATCAGTTATAAATATTATACAATTTAATGTTAAAACATAGTATTATATGAAAAATATTTTTAATTATAATAAATCTTATTTACTTATACAGTTATACCTATACGACTATACATAGATCTTATTCCAATGATTACAATATTAACACGCATTAATGCGTAAACACAGTCGAGACTCGACGGACGAGGATATTGCTGTACGCCTGTACAGACCGTCTGTAACAGACGTACAATGTTGTAGTAAATACTAAATATAAATAATTATATGGATCAACACTATTAACTATAAATAGTTAATAGTTCTCCTTAATATCAGACATTCATACCTATGATAGGTATTGGTGTACCCGCATTATTGCGAATTCATAAAAATACATAGAAACATTGATTATAAATACTAATACTAATAAAATATAATCAATGATAGAAACGACGCAAACGGGCAATTTCTCTATTTCCGGTCATGGTTAATTATTAATTTATTTTTAAAAATTGTTTACTTAATATAAGATAACAGAATTATCACTATATTATTATAGTGCACAATGCTCATTAGTAAGTGGGCCAGTTGGTCGTAACTCGTAAGTTTGTCAAGCGTACAAGACGTAACTACACAAGTGTAATTTTATTTTATATTTTAAATTAATAATGTCTTCAAAAACAAAAAGAGTAAAATTAGGTGGCGCTGAGTACAAAAAAAGAGCAAAAGTTTTTGATAGAAGATTTATATACCTATTACTATGAG